CGAAATGAACGCCATAATTAACGTAATTGGGTAATCCATCAGTATGATCGTTCTTAATATGCTTGAGTGAATATGAAAGAATCGGGTGGATGGGGAAAAGGGCCAGGAAAGGAAAATGGAAGAAGCATAATCTCTCCACCTGGGAACCAAAGAGAAGAAAGAAGTATTTTGGAGAGATGCAACATTTGATTTAACCAGGTGGCAGGTAGTTTAATGGATCACAGTGGAAAGTCTTATTGTAGAAGAAGAACTCTTTGGTTCTGGTAATACAACGTGGCATTTTTCCTCTATCAACTAGAGACAATCCTCATTTAGCAACTGGCTTGAACAATGACCGTTTGCCCTTATGACAATGATGAAAAAGGAACTTTGCACACAGCCAGTTATTATATAAAGCAAAGATTTTTATTTTTATTTTTTTATCTTCAAACATGGTAGGAGCTAACAAGTAAAAATTACAAAGATATTCAGAATGTGCTGGTTTTGCTGTCAAACACACAGGCCTGACATCCTCTACACAGTTCGTTTGTCTTCCATTAGCTTTCTGTTTTTAAAAGATGGATTCCCTTGTCACAAGGCCATTAGCTGTAATGAAATGGTTTTGAACTTTGGTGTATTTATTTTGTAGTCCTAGTTTTATAATTAGGTTAGTTAGAGCCTCCTCTCCTTTAGAGTCACCAAGCAAACAGTGTGAAAATAGAAACTTCAGGCACAAAAATCATGCTTAAAAACCCACTTTATTATTATTATTATTATTTGATGCATTGTAACTGCTCTGAAGACGATTCTTTTGCTTTGCATTTCTAGTTGTAGAGAAAATAGAAACCTCTGGCAAATCGAGTTATTATTGACGGGATTCCTTAGACCGAGCCTTGAATTGGGAGATACCATTCCAGGGAAGCAGCTGCACCCATACGTGTGCTTGTGTTTGTGGAAATTAACAAGGCGGAAAGCACAATCGACACAAGGGGTGGGACTTAGGTTGTGATGCCATGTCTCCCCTCTTCCCTTTGACTTTTTGGATTTTTCTTCTGCCCCAGAATGGAAAGGGAAGGAAGAGATAAGCTTTGTGAAATTGAAATCTTAAAGTACTCTGGGGAAGATGTCTTGCGTGACTCCACTAGATCAATCGTTAAAACATTTTGCACTATTACAACTGTACTATGTGCTATATGATAGCCAGTTTGGTCTGGAGGTTCAGGTACCAGGTTAGAAAGCAGGAGATGGAGAGTTCAAGACCCACCTTAGCCATGAAAGCCAGCTGGGTAACTTCGGGCCAATCACCAGGAGACACACAGATCCAGATTAACAGAGTTGGAAGGGACCTTGCAGGTCATCTAGTCCAACCCCCTGCCAAAGCAGGAGACCCTATACCATTTCTGACTGTGAATTCTAGTCTCGCCTTAGCCATGAAAGCCAATTGGATGACTTTGGGCCAATCAGAAGGAGACGATGAGTTCTAATCCCACCTTAGCACTTACCTGAGATCCAAAACAGGCCACGTGGAGACTCCTGGGAGAGGCGAGGTGGGCAGGGCCAGCCAGTCATTGCAACTACTGGTTCGCCAAACCAGATGTAAAATTAACATCAAATTTGCCCGAACAGATGCGAACCAGTAGCAGCCCATCCCAATACTATGGTGCATGTTTCTTGAAATTCTCAGAAAGAGTTTAAATTGTATTTGAAATGTTGAATCCTACCTGGAGAAGGTACCCTACATTCATGTACAACCCTGCTTTCTCAGCATCAGCAACCTGAGGTGTGAACTCCAGGAATTCCCCAGCTAGCCAGCAAAGGTCCACCCTTAAGTGTTATTTGGGATGGGGCCCTAGGGGAGAACAGCCTGGAGGGTGAATGTCAGGCAGTTCTCCATTCAAAATCCAAGAAAGGAACGCTTAGACTCCATTAATATAGAGAAAAACATCTTTTACTAGAAATCAAGTGGTAGCATCAAAGGAATTCTGAATCTGAGGAACTGAGCACGAAAATCACATATACCAAGTGATGGCAACATTCCCACCCACCATAGTTCAAATGGTCCATCCAATTACAGTTGTATATAATGTCATGTGGGCCATCTTCAGGTGGTGATGAAGGCATCTCTCCATTAACCTTGGCCTATTTTTGATAAAGAGTTGCACCTGTGCACAGCCCAGCAAAGAAGCATAAACAAGAAAGTTTTTCCCCAACTCATACATTTCATTCTCTAAACCTCCAGCATGTTTCCCACACCCACAAAACCCAATTATTTCACCCCTCCCCCCGTTACTATGGCAGCCGAAAGATGCAAAGCAAAGGAAAGAAATCTTGAAGGCTGACAGTGATGGATTGGGGTTGCCTTAGAAAGGGTGAGTTTTGTTTCTGAAGCTTGTTGAAGGACCTTCACACTACACTACCCTAAAACAAGGGTTTCCAACCTTGACAAATTTAAGACTTGTGGACTTCAACTTCCATACTTCCTCAGCCAACTTTGCTGGCTTTGCTGGCTCAGGAACTCTGGGAGTTGAAGTCTACAAGTCTTAAAAGTTGTCAAGGTTGGGGGGGACCTCTGCCCTAAAAGCAGCAAAGTCGACTTTCTGAATGTATTTTTCTCTGTCCGATAGAGAAAGAGAGAAAGGTAGGTCCAGACATAATAAAAGCTCAATGAGACATTTTCTTCTTTTCGGAGTGAAAAACTTTCTCAAGGGATCTTCTCTATTTGCATCTTTTTCATGCCCCAGAAGAATCGTCATCCTATTTTTTTTGTCTTTTTATAAATGGGTCTTGGGAAAAAAAAAATGGTCATCCTGAAAGGCAATAACTCATCTAAAAGGTGGCCACCTTTGATTTAAGAAGTCTTCCTGAAACTGATCGCTTGGGTTGTCCCTCCTCACCTTTCCTGGGAGGGGCGGAAGACGGGTTGGTTAAGGGATCAAACGTTTGCCCCACGGGATTCAAATCGATCTGGTCCGAATGATGTAACTTGCTCTTTCCCTTGGGGATAAAATGGATTTAGAAGAACAAGAGATTTCTAAACGATGGCCGTGTCAACACTGGGATGCTTTTTTTTTAATAGTATTTTTTTTAACAACAAACATAAACAAACACAAAAACGCAAAACACAAAATAAAATCTTATTTCCATTGTACAGTGTGTCAATTGGTACATATCTCTTGTGCACAATGTCAACAGTCTTTCCCTCCTAATTTTATGTTACAATTCATAATGTATGAAGCTATTGTCCACTTAATATTATATTATTATCAAATCATTATTAGACTACGATTACACATCATCCTTTTCGAGCAAGTCTCAACTTTTACAAAACCTAATTCATATTGTCATTCATTTCACAATAATCAATTATTACCTAACATTATATTGTATTATCTTTACTATTATATTGTATTAATATTATAATATATTTTATTTCTCTGTTTTCTTATCTAGCCATCGATAAAATAAATCCCAAATTTTATATACTCTTTTTCTTGTTGCTCTCTAATGGCAAATGTCAATCTACTCGTTTCTGCACATTCCATTATTTTCTTTATCACCTCCTCTTCTATTGGAATTTTTTCAATTTTCCAGTTTTGCGCAAATACAATTCTAGCTGCTTACACTGGGATGCTTTGAAGCACATTGGTCAGTGATTCTTGTGTGGGGGAAAAATGTTTTCATATTCTATAATGCCATGATGTGCCAGCCACACTCACCCTTGGATGCCATCGCTGAGGTCTGGGGAAGTTTTACATAAATTGCATCTTTCCTATCAGACGTGAAGAACAAGGAAGGCTTCAAACAAAGGCGCTAAGTTTGGTTCCTCGCAAGGGAACTTCAACAAGAGACCATTTTATTAGCCGAGGGACAGAAAATCTAGAATTCCTTGATAGGGTTCAAAGGGTGGTTGGTGGGCTGTCTGTACAGGTAGTCCTCGACTTACGAACACCATCGGGTCCAAAATTTCTGCTGCTAAGTGAGAGACGTTGCTTAAGTCGGGTTTGCTCCATATTTACGACTTTCCTTGCTGCTCTTGTTAAATGAATCCCCGCGGGTGTTAAATTAGTAACCCGGTCGTTAAGTGAATCTGGCCTCGACATGGACATTGCTTGTCAGAAGGTCACCAAAGGGGATCATGTGACTCCCTGGGACACTACGACCATCATAAATATGAGCCAGTTTGCCAAGCATCTGAATTTGGATCACATGACCTGGAGGATGCTGCCAACGGTCGTAAATGTGAAAAGCTGCCATAAGTCCCTTTTTTCCAGGGCCATTGTGACCTGGAACAGTCATTAAATGAACTGTTGTAAGTCAAGGACTACCTGTATTAATAGAATTGTACTCGGAGCAGTGGCCAGTTGCTCCCAGAGCTTCGGTGCGGGAAGACAGGGGTGTCAACTCATAAAATATTTCTATGGTCTTTTTAGAGTTGCCAACAGAAAGGGAGAGGGGAAAGGGGTTTGAAAGAGCAGTGCGGCAGTTTGGAAACCGAAAGTGCATTCCATAAATAGAGTAGTTTTTCAAAGATAGTAACTAGGTGACTGAAGTTTCTGCCGTGCAAAATTCTAACTGGAGAGCATGATTGAAGACTCTGGGCTATGGATGTGTCCCAACGGAGAATATGAATTACGATACACCCAGAGGGCTGGGGGAAAACCAGGGTCAAGGGTGACAATGAATGATGTGTCTCAGAGTCGGATCCACCCAGGCAATACCGGCATGTTAACTCCCAATAAATCCTTTGAAAGTTTTGGAAGTTTGGCTCGAGACTCATGATTTAATGGAGTTAACTGCCAGAATCCTATCAGGGGGTTTCCGTGTCTCCTTGCGGGAAGCAAACGTGGAGCCAGGAAATAAGAGGAAGGCCCAGAGTTGGCATATAGAGTCCGATTCCTTTTGCAGGCAATTGTCTCCCTTGACCCCTTTAAGCTTTTGAAACCATTGTGTGAGTTTGTGGTGCTTTTGGACAGCTGGAGAATAGGTTTGTTATTCACACGCCTCTCTGCCGCTTTCTTTAGGAGTGCCCCAGTGGGATTGTTAATGAAGAGACCTTCAAAGAGATTTACTCTCAGTTCTTCCCACAGGGAGGTGAGTCCTTTGGCATAAGTAGCCCTCTTTGCATGTACCCCACCCCCTGTTACGTCTCACGGCTTTAATATCCAGGGGGGTAGTGGGGTGGTGGTCTTGGGAATTCAGTGACTTATGCATTTCCATGGATGGTTGGAAAGGTTTCTTGGGGTTTCCTTCATGGGTGTCTTATGTCTTAGCCATAGGCTAGCCCAGGGATCCCCAAACTTGGCAACTTTAAAACTTGTGGACTTCAATTCCCAGAATTCATAGCTGGCTGGAGAATTCTGGGAGTTGAAGTCCACAAGTCTTAAACTTGCCAAGTTTGGAGACCCCTGGGCCGGTCGTTCAAGAATACTCTGCCTTTGGGCTCAAAGGTATGCTTTGTTTCACACTGCTTTCCGTGCCAAATTAGCTTGAAGCGGTGGGGAGAGCTGCAATAAATATCGTTATCTTTTCTTTCATTTTCAAAGGGTCTTATTAAGAAAACAGTAGAAATAAAAAACAAAAACAAAAAAGGAATAGATATACTTTTTAATAGGTTTTAATACCCAGCTTGCTACCAAGATCTTTTACCTGGGGTGGGATTCTACTGGTTTGGACCGGTTCCATAGAACCGGTTGTTATGATTCTGCACAGTTTGGAGAACCGGCAAATCGTGTCCCTGGCTGGCTCCGCCCCTCTCTGACTGCCCCTCCCCGCCCAGTCAGTCCTTATCACGCATGCGCATCGCTGACTGCGTTCTTCCCTGCCCAGTCACACCTTAAGGCAGGGGTGTCCAACCTTGGCAACTTTAAGACTTGTGGACTTCAACT